AAGATTTGTATAATCCAATTTTTAACAGGTTTTAATGCAGGGTTCATCCATTTATTCAAATTGCATTTATAAAAGTATTTTCCCTCATCTCTCAGTTAAGTAAATAGACAAGTTCTTTGCAACAAGGTCATAGTGGTAGGTGCTCTGAAATCCTGGATTCCCTCTCTGGTTCTCAAGGAACCTAGATGCTGCAAATCAGGCGATGTGATCAGCTTCTTGAGGATTATCTTTGGTTTTAAGAATGTAAATTAATTTGAAATAAATGCTTCATAATAATTTAAAGTATTTTAAAGCACAATGATAGAAAAGCCATTGTTGGGAGAGGTGGTCCGTATTTAGAAACATGTAAGGCACCATTTTGTAATAATGCCTTTTCTTCATTCATTATATTTGATGTGGGAAGGGCTGAACTTTGAATTGAAAATAGTGTTGTAATCTGTTGGGGTTTTTTCACACCTTTCATCATTCTCAATCTAATGGGATGGGGTCAGTAGAAAAAAACTGATAGTTCTTCTGTTTGGGTTTTTTTTTTAGTTTTTTAAAATTTTCTTGACTTGTACATTTGCTAATTGAACAGTTACAGATTTAGGATACATTCCTAGTACAAACTCCTTCTCTTTTCCTTCACCTTTTCTCAGGGTCACTCATAGATTTATACCTCTTTACTCTTCTGGAGTTCATTGCATAGTAGTGCCCCAGCTTGCAAAAAAAAAAAAGCTATGTATGATATATCTTTGGGAAGAATTAATTAATTTAGGTTGTGCTCCATGACTACAGACCACATTAAAGAGAGTGCTGAGCTTTAGGTAATAATTGCTGTCTTAAGGCTGTGTCTTAACAAATAAATCCAGCTCTGTGATATTGCAAGTTACCCAGCGTGTGGCCTAGGTGGTAGCAAAGGAAGCCTGTTATCTTGATTGTAAAATGTTCTGTCCTGTCTCTCTTAGGACATACATTTATTCCTCACTTTGGATAGCTTGGTTGCAAATTATATGGGGAATTGCTAACTGCTCTGTTTTTCTTGGGAGTTCAGGTGACCTTTTGCAGTTTCCAAGAATGAGGTAATTATATGTTTTAAAGACTGACATCTTGAAACTTACTTGATATTAGCAGTAAAGAACAGAGTGAATGCAAGGCAAATTCAAGGTGCTCTTAATGGCGTGATACAATTCCCTGAGGGCTGGCAGTTTCACATGCAGGAATCTTAGATTGCTGCTCAGGTATGAGAGTGCAAGAGCAAGCTAAAATCCAGGGCCAACCTGTATTTTTGGGGTCCCTTGTATGAAGGGAGGAAAATGATGGATCTGACTCCATGTTCTTAGAAGGCTAATTTATTATTTTATATTTTATTAAAGAATGTTATATTAAACTATACTAAAGAATAGAGAAAGGATGCAGACAGGAGACTACAAATAATGATAATGAAAACTCGTGACTTTGAAGAGAGAGTCCAACACAGCTGATGGTGATTGGTCATTAAGTTAAAACAATTCACATAAAACCAATCAAACAATGACCAGCTGGTAAACAATGTCCAAACACATTCCAAAGCAGCAAAACACAGGAGAAGCAAATCAGACAATTAATGCTTTCTTTTTTCTCTGAGGTTTCTTAGCTTCCCAGGACAGAAATCCTGGGCAAACAGGATTTTTCAAAAAACACGATGGTGACACCAACCCAGTGGATGCCAGCATAGTACTGGTGGGTTGTGTGGGAGTGAAGGGGATTGTGAGTCCAATATTTCTCCATTGCCAATTCCCTTCACTTGACTGATTGTGGATCCTTGTCTCTAAAGGAGGGAGAATGTACTGAGTTAACATTGTGGGCTGTGTGCCTCAGATGGAAATAGCAGATAATATAAGACCTATTAAAAATATGTTTGTCCTTACGTACCCAGAAGCAAGAGAAAAATTAAAAGGCAAAATCAATGGATAAATCAGTAAGCTATTTGTACCCTAGAGGCTGTTGTTTCTGAAGCATGTACCTTCATGAGTTATAAAGCAGATATTAGTCTCAGAATTATTCCTTACTCTTCAGTGGTTTTCCCAAAATTTATTGACAATTAATTTCTGTGAACGCACCGCTTTTCTCCTTTTGCTGTGCTTCACTGATGGCTTAGTACATTTTTCATGGATAGGGAGAGGGGTAAGAATCCCAGCATAACACCAGGAAACAGGCTCCCAAATGCAAGCTGTGTTCAGTTAATAGTTTACAGGTCTTTTCAGTTATGGTTCCTATATTCCTGGTTTATTACTAATTAGCCATGATAATTCAGTTCAAAATTTTCCATTTAGAAAGAGTAAATGAACATAAGCACATTCTAAAACTTAGAACATATGCACTCTAAAACATAGATATAGGCTTTATTCAAGTTTCCCCACAACGAATGCAATAAAATGCAGTCATTTTCTTCTCAGTAGCTGCAAAGTTTCAGTTGTGGAATAGGGAAGCACAAAATTGTCACTTAAAATATTTAGGGATTCCATGAATGTTTTAATATTGGTGGCATAAAATTGACAATATTTGTCACTGTTACTAAAGTATTCTAACAACGCTTCCCTCATACATTGTATATTAAGTTAATTAAAGAGCTGTTGATAAGTTATTGAGAAAACCATTTCAGTTTGTCCATTATGTTTTTAAACCATATTTATTAGAAATTATTATTTCTAAGTTGGCAGATTGCTTCAAATCATAGTAAGCTGTTTTAGACTTCAAGGAGAACCTAGCTTTAGTCTGCTGGGTTTTTTAAAAATCTATCGATTCCTAATTTAATATTCAGTTAACAAGTTTCATTAAGGTTGGACAGTTTAATTTATCCATAAACAATAATTCTTTTTGTACATTTATTCACCTTGTTCTGGAAGCTGCTATTGTTCAGTTGTCAATTTAAGATGATCTTCTCATGTTCTTTGTTGCTGTATTTACTTCCATTGTCACCAAGCCGGATTAAGTTCTAATAGGAGTCCATTTGTTCCTTTATTTATTGCATCCTCTGATAGTGTTTAATTCTTTTTGGTCTAATTCAGAAAGGTTGCCCCTGTAACTTCTTCAAATGAAGCAGGAGCTATCCAAAATCCCCTTGCCATAGAAAGTGGTCAATGCTTCATGAGACCAGATATCTCCAAGGCTCCTGGCTTCTTCTTCCTCCTCATCCTAAAGACAGAAAGCCACCCCAAGGGGGTCACTTGCATGTGCTTATTCTCCAGTACTTTTCTAATCTTCTTTGCACAGTCTGTGAAGTCTCAGGGGTTGTGGATGTATTTGATAAATGGAAATGTGAAACCTTACTATCTAATACTACAGTTTAGTCCAATTCTATTCGCTTGTGATGTCTTCAGTTGAAGAACACATTATCTGTCTCTGTAGCAGAGTAGCATTTCTGCTGTCAGCAATCCACTGTGAGGTTTTTCTGTTGTCTTTGGAGGAACAGCTCTCATGGGAGCAGCACTACTTGTACTCAACTCTGAAATAAAATTAAGAAATAGGCTTATTTATTAACTATTAGGATACATTTTATTATAGTAAAATAATTCTGACAAGTCTTATGATGAAATTTGCATAGTGGATAATGATATAATTGGAATGAACACAATTCTTACTGAAAAATGTCACTCTATCAATCATTTCCTTTTCTTTTAGTTTTAAACATTTTTCAATAGCAACTATCACTCGTGGGGTATGTCATCTTAGATTGTGCTAGTGCCTTTATTTCTAACAGTAGCACAACTCTGCAGTTCATCCACTGTGTGTTCCCTTACAGGGTGTCAGAGTGGGCTTCATGTGTGTTCAAACCAGGTCTCAGTGGAAATTAATCCAGAAGTTCTTTTCCAAGTATTTAGTAAGCACTTTCTAACCCCCAACAGGGTCGTAAAGTCCCAGTGATGGATCTCTGAACAGCTCCAAACTACACTGCATAGTTGGAACACTGGATCAGGGCCGGATGTGATCCAGCCCTGAATGGTGCAGATCTGTAGATGAAGAAGCCTCAGCACAAAGTGCTTCTTTTGCTGAACTGTTGCTTTTTATCCAAATTGCTTTTTAATGTAGGGCTGAACCTTAGAAACAGAGAAGAAAGTTTTAGCTTCTGTCGCTATGGTTTTGTATTCAGCCCTTCAGTGGTATTTTAGCTTGGGTGTGTAATTTATTGCACAATTAAAAGCATTGACAAAACACTTGTGTGCACCTTTGGTATTGGGGAGCTCATTTCAGCAGCTCTTGTATTATGAATAACAGAAAGAGCAGCAATTTGAGAGAACATGAATAAAGATTAGAGCCCTGGGAAGTGGTTGCATCGTGACAGGCTTCTTGGACCAAGCTAAAAGATGGTTTCAAGCAAGAATATTTGCTGCAGATGTCAACTGGATTTAAAACTAATATTGTCTTTCATTTTTATCAGAAAAGTCATAGAAAATATCTAAGTTGAGGGGTTTTTTTGTTAAATTGAACAGGCTCAAAGGTTTTCTTGGTTTTGATCTGTTATGCCTATTGGTTTGCCTATCTTATATAGCCTTATGGATTCCATGAATGTTACTACTCCTCAGCCCCAAGGACAAACTGAAAAGATGTTAAATTATGAAGTGTCTGACCTTGGTATATTTTCTGTACATGAAGAGAAGCGTTAAGACAGTGACAAAGGGTTTAGAGGAAAATGAAATCTCACACTTCTTTATAATAGCAGAATGGCTGTGCAGAAAAGGCTTTTAAGTAATCAAGGCCACACAAGCTAATTTGCAACTCATAGTATAAATTATGTGTAGATTCTTTCAGATTGTTGGAATTAACTCCAGGGATATTTTTAGAGCAACTTTGTTTGGTTTAATGAAAACAATTATTAAATCATTAGTCAATGAAAATAGTTATTTCATCTTGTTTGTATGTAAATTATCATATTCATATATCATCACCATTATCCTCTAAATAATGTGCCTATTCAAGATTGTGTCTCTTTGGTTAAAATGCTCAGGTTTCTCTGAGTAACTTCTCTGCTTTGCTTGCAGGTTGTATATAAAAATAACGATGTCAGGTTGGAGCTGTCTCGACTTGCCAAGCAAGGGGATCCTAAAATGAAGATTCATGGGGTTGTAGCATTTAAATGTGAGAATGTTGCAACCTTAGATCCAATCACATTTGAAACACCAGAGTCTTTCATCTCTCTGCCAAAGTGGAATGCCAAGAAAACAGGCTCAATATCATTTGACTTTCGTACAACTGAGCCAAATGGCCTCATTCTTTTCAGTCATGGGAAACCAAGGCACCAAAAAGATGCCAAACATCCGCAGATGGTGAAGGTCGATTTTTTTGCCATTGAGATGCTTGATGGCCACCTCTACCTGCTGTTAGACATGGGATCAGGTACTATAAAAATAAAAGCCTTGCAGAAGAAGGTGAATGATGGTGAATGGTACCACGTGGATTTTCAGCGGGATGGGCGGTCAGGTAAGTTCCTTTTGTCTGCATTCAGAATAGCTTTTTTCTGCTGTATCTGAGAGAATACTGGGTACATGTTGATGTTGCCACAATTAGAGTTGGGCATTATCTGAAAAATAGGGGAACTATAAGAAGTCATTACTTTCAGGTGCCAAAACACAGTAATTTGCTGAGTACAATATCTTTATTTACATTATTGGATAATCAAGTACTTAATCTTGCAAGTAAGAGTGTTGTGTTCTTAAAAACCAACAGTAATCTCCCTCTGTGCTTGCTTACATCAAATAGCTGAAGTGGCAAGTTTGAAGAATGAAAATAAAGCAAAAAAGGAATTACTGATAATAATCTCCAACAAGGGGAATAGCTGACCTACAGAAACAACACATCTTCCAATCATGTCAGCAGATCTCAGTGTACTTAAATAATATTCTAATAAATTACTAACAACACATGTCAGCAGAAAAGGAAATAATTTACTTGCCTCATTCTATCAGTGGGATTCGTATTCTGGAGTAGTTTACTCAAAAAGGTGATCTCACTGAGAAGTGGTAAAAATAAAGAATTCATGAACTCTTCCTCATGCTACTGAAATGTAATATGGCTTAAAGTGCATTTATCCAGTGAAATCATCAATGTGTATCAGCTCTTCTCATCTGGAGTATATATTTTGTCTTAAGCAAATAATCAATATAAATCAATTTAAGGACAACTCTCTTCTACAGTGACTTTCCTGTACTTCTTGCCAGGATTTGGGAAGGGAGGGGTCAGAGAATATACTGAGTCTGTAATTCAGTCCTGAAGATTTTCTAATTAATATCAGTATTCAATCTGAAATTTATGTAGGCTTTAAATTTGGGTGTTGAAAAATTCAACTACGCTTCTTTTGGATTTTGTGGGATTTCCCACACTTTCTTCCCTCTGGTGACTACCTTTCTATAGCTTGCATTTACAATTTCTTTATGAAACTTAACCCCCCAAAAAGTTATCATTTTATCATTTAACTTCTTGCTACACACAAATCAGATTTCAGATAAAGCAAATCTTAGGTGCAGGTTTAAATTTAAGATTTCGGTCAAATCCATGGTGAAATCCACCTGCACCATGATTATGAAAAATAACTATTTGTTTCCTGGGCAGTGCAGCTTCAAATTCTAATGGTACCAACCTTGATCTTCTTATTATGTCAGTTGCTCATTTAGATTTCTTGAGGTTTAATAAACCTACCAAACAAGAACAAACAAAAACAAACAAAAAAAAAAAAAAAAAAAAAAAGCCTTACTGAACAACAAAACATGACTTCTCAAAATCCTCAACTGGAATTGAACATCCAGCAGTTATATTATTTATACTACAGTTTTCATTTCAGACTTTATTCTTAAGTGCTGTTTCAGTGATTCATATGAGGCAGTAAATCCTGTAATAATCGTGCCCGTGGGACTGCTGAAAGCAAAGTTTATTCTTACATCCAAAGCCAACAGATCTATAAAGGAATGAAATAAATGCATAGCAATTGTTTACATTTGAAGGTAAATTCTGCCCTTTCATTGCTTCACAAAACACACGACTCACAGGTGCCATTAAGAGAGTTTAGGGCATACTTTAATTCTTTAAAACTGTTAATGGACATCAGCAAGAATTTAGAGTAATATCAGGAAGCAAAACCTGCCTGGTGATCAGGATTGCATATTATTTTTTTAGTACAGTTATAAATAATCAAATTAATCCATCTGATGATTTGCCTATGATCAAGATAGGTGAAATTTATGCAGCTCCCCCATCACTGTTGAAAACTAATCATAATACCTATTAACTTTGAGACATTGAACTATTACCATGAATACTGAATAAAAATATGCAGGCTTATGGATTAGTAAATTGAATTTTAACTGCAATTTGAAACAGAATCAAAATTTTCCTGTTACTCTAATGCATACAATTATAGTTTATGGCAGGAGAAGCACCAATAACACTGGCAATGCTTTTGTCTTAATGATGGTAAGACTTGGTTATTAAAATTATTAGAGAGATGCCTCTACCTGAATTAAGGTGACAATGAGACTATGTGCCAAAGTAAAAAATATGGATTTTATTTAACATTAAATGTGATATAGAGGGAAATAGAAATAATAAGAAGGGGTGTTGCAGGGGGCACACTCAATTCTGACTGGTCTCTGGCTTTCCTAGCGTTATCCCTATCACCCTGTACAATTTTACCACATTCCACCAAAGCCACCTGTTCTCATTTCCACCTTCTGAAAGCTCTTTTTTTGCTCTGAGTTTGCTCAGCTGCTCCTCATCCACCCATGGAGGCCTGCTGGCATTTTTGTCCCATTGCCTCCTTGTTGGGATGCATCGTGTCTGAGCTTGGAGAAAGTGATCCTTGAACACCAGCCAGCATCCTTGGGCCCTCTGCCCTCCAGGGCTCTTTGCCATTGGGCTCCACTGAGTAGTGCCTTGAAGAGGCCAAAGTCTTCTCTCTTGAAGTCCAGGGCAGTAAGTTTGCTGTGTGCTCTCCTCAGTGTCCTGAGTATCTCATCCCACTCCACCCCATGGTCATGTTATGTGTGTGTTTTACCCATAAAGAATAAAATTCACTTTACTATTTCAGGATGCTTTTCAGTGTCTTTTCTCTAGCCCAGACCAAACATACTAAAAATCACATGGATAGAATTACTTTTCACTAGCTTTCCTTCCTTCCTAGAATTTTTATATAACTGAATGAATATGCCTTGTACAGAAAAAAAATTGCTTTTCTGGGACATTTTTGTTGTCATTGACAGCATATTTCCCTAGCTACCAAGCATTAAGGAAGATATTCTTCAGTTAATGAATAAGTAGCTCAAATAAACTGTGATTTTTTTTTTTTTCTTTAAATTAAGTTTGGTGTCTTGCAACCTTTTGCTCCTAGACTTCAAATCCAATGCAGAGTGGTTCTCTCCTACAGGAGAATATTGTGACATTTCTCAAGGAGCTTTGCTAATTTCCTTGACTTTCATATTAGCTGGATCAGCAAGTACTAGATTTATTTCTCATTCTTTGCTCTCCTCCAGTCTCTGAGTCACAGTGAGCATCCACTCCAAACTATTGACTTTGCCTTGGCTGGTCTGGGACTGTGGTGGAGGAGGGAGGGAGAATGTGAACACATTTTTAAATTGTAATCATCCAGGCCCCATTCACTAGTAATTCTGTCCGTCCACTCAGATTTTGAGAGATACAGGGAAGAGGGAAGATACTGTGCCTTTTAATTTCTTTTTGCTGAAAGCTTTGACCTGTTATTCTTGTTTTCACCCTAAAATCCCATTCTGTTTCCTGTATGACTTACTCTGAGTGCTTTCTTACCTAAAAAAGATCATTGCTATGTAGGACAGAGTTCCTGAAACCATATTTAGTTAGCATTTAAGGGTTAGGTAAAGAGAAATATTCATAAGATATTCTCCCCTGATCCATCCTTCTTGCTAGGTGTGCAGCAGTGCTACCAACTGCTGTGTCCTGAGTTTCCCCCCCAGTACTCTTGAGCTGTACATCCTGAATTTCTGAGTTTTGTAGCTGCCTTTTATGTGTCCTGTCTTGTCAAGGGGCTGCATGCTGCAGTCACAGTCCTCATCACAGCTATTTTATTGTGTTTTAGCACAGAGGATGTACTTGGAATTAATACCATGCTCTGATTTTTCAACGTTTCTTAATAAGCAGATGTTTTTCACAGGCACAAAATAAGACTAAAATAGGCCATGCCAGGTAAGCAGAGAGATCAGAACAGTTGCAGTAGCTGCACTTAAAATCTTCATATTTAACTGATCAGGAGAGAGATGAGATTTAGAAATGTGATTTTGTTTCTTATACACAGTTTTAGGAAAAATTAAATTGCTGAGATAATGAATATGATTGGAGAGGCTCATTAAGTCATACCTAAGGGAAATGTTTGCCTGTTCTGCTCTTAACAGTACTGCAAACTCTGCAGAAAAAAAGAATTAGGGAAAAACCCACAAACCCAAGTGAAATAAAAAAACAGCCATGAAGCAGCTGTAAAGGTCTTTGCACACAGTGTTTCTTGTAACACAGTAGGAATAGGTTTAATAACTGTTTTCTGAAACTTAAGTATTCTTTAATTTTTTTTAAAAAAACTGTTTGCCATATGCAAGGATAATCATGCAATTTTCATTTTTTTTTTTTTTTGCTGAACCACCATTCATCCTTTGGAAACCACCATTACATAGTGAATTCAGGGAGGAAACTTACTCTTCTTGTCAACCTCCAGTTGTGCAGGGCAGCATAAAGCACAATGTATCAGCATCTATTCATAGGTAGGTAGCATTTAAGGGCTGAGTCACTGAAATTTTGAGCTAAAGTTAGTTTCAGCTTGAACACCAGAAATGATTTCTGGAGTATGTAATTAGAGCTTAACTATAATCAACATTTCACTGTAAGTAGTGCTTTGTGAGTCTATTACACGTGGTGTTGTTGCAGGTTCTTTTTTTTCCTCACATGTACTCTTCTACATATTACTTCCCACATATTTTTAACCTTCTAACAACAGCCAGATTTACATGTTCCTATTTCAACAGATGTTAATAGTTTTCATACTTGGGAGGATGGGTTTATACTGCATTTTAAGGAATATTCTTTCAGTGATCTGCAGCTTTCTTGGCTCATTTGCATCTTTCTCAGAGCTCAAGACAAACTTAACCAACTCAGCTAAGTGGCACAATAGGCTTCTCTGTAATCAATTATATATTTTTCTTTTTGCTCTCATGTGTGTTATTGTTGATTTATGTTGTTGACTCGACCTTTGAAGGACTTCTCACTAATCAGTTACCCTTTAAGTCAATAATTCTTGCTGAAAACCACAACTTCATTATGGTTCAAACTTCATCAGTTTTTCTCAAACTGATTTTCTAATGCAGAAAGAAGTTTCTGAATGTCAAATTTTACTGTGTTCTCAGGTGAACTGCTGCAGAATCAAAGCAGCTATAAGTCATTACAGGACACTTAAATTTATATCCAATTTCTGGAGATAAGAAATGCTACTTGGTTTTAGAATCTGAAGACAGATCATGAATTCCAAGACTAAAAAAGTCACCCAACACCTTCTTGTCTTTGTCATTCCTTTTTACTTCTTTCAGGCAGGACAAACAATGTGCTGTCAGCGTTCTTCCATTGCTTTCTTATTCTGATAGAAATACAAAAAATATTTCCTACTTTGATTCCTAGAAAACTTTGAATGGAGGCTGCTTGTTTCCTGGAAGGCATTATGGCTCTTTTCAAAGTGATATCACTACTTATCTGGTTCTGAGTGTTGTTATGAAAAGAAGGAAGTTTAAGGATGGTTCTTACTCTAGAGCTGTTAACATTTGAAGTTTTAGTTTTCTCTCCCTCTTGAGTGCTCTCCTGAATCTGCTGCTACCTCATAAAATTGGTTGTCTCCAGGTTAATGACCAGGTTAAAAAAAACACCCACATGACCACATTTGGAATTCAGCCATGCCCACATTTCCTTATTTGGGCATAGCCATGCCTACATGACCACATTTGTAATTTAGCCATGCCCACCTTTCCTTATTTGGAATTCAGCCACACCCACATTTCCATATTTGGAATTTGGCCATGCCCACAGTTCCTTATTTGGGCATAGCCCAAATTAGATATGTCCCATTCTTTCCTCCTGTAAAACTTGACAATTCTGTCTTGAGAATGACATTTTAGTATTTCTACAAGGAAATTTATTAACCCTTTTTTTGCTGACCTCATAAGACGTTTGCATGCTTCCTTAGCTTCCCGTTCTTTCTCTATGGAAAGTGATGACCCTTCACATTCATAGGCAGAAACAACTGTATGGATTGAAGCACACTGGTTATTCATCAAAAACAATTCATTTTAATCTGCCTATAATTCCCAGAGAAAGTAGAATTGAAGTCTATGAAAGGAGTTGTGCATTGAAGTCCCCAGTTTCTGTGGCACCTTCTCCCATGATTATGAGGTCCAGTTTGAGATGTTTTCAGTAAAACTTGGAAAGTTTCCCTCAAGAAAGATAACAGGCTTAGAAAAACAAACCAACAAAAAACAAAATAAAAAACCCAAAACAACAAAAATAAAGAAAACAAGGAAAAACAAACACCAAACAAACCAGAGGGGGAAAAACACCTCAAATGCTTGCAATAAACTAGCAAAACTAGAAAAAAAAACACCCTCACCCTAGTCAAATCCTCACCAAGATGAAACAGCCTGTGCTACCACCTCTGTCTCAGGTCTGGGTGCACTGTGAATCCAAAGGCGCTGATGGAACCGTTGTTTATTTTCTGTAGGCCAACGTTCTGTGAACTTGAGTTCTGCATTTTGTTGTAGGATACTTAAAAACTCTGTATTTTTTTCTGTGTTTTGGAACATCTTTATGTTCCCTCATTTTACTTGGATTTTCCTTTTTTCATCTGTGTTTACAAAGCAATTAGTGAGTGAAGTGTATTTTGTCTGTCAGAGATACATAAAAGTAATTTGGATATCATCAGCAGTGATGGCTCTGTGGTTGCCTGTCATGTTTTTCTACCCATAGGCATTAAATGCCATAATTGCAAGCTTTCAGATAAAGTTTCAGAGGACTTCTCACACAGAGTATTTTATGGGGTTTCATGTCTTTTACCTGGGAAGGTAAAAAGTTCATTTCTTTAAGAAGCTGTTGACATCTATTCAAAATAATACTTAAGCTCTCTTCAGGGTAATCCTTTGTGACACAAAGAAAAATTTCCTGCTTCAGTCTATCACTTTACTGTAATTCACAGTCACCAGTTTCCCTTATCATTCACCTTCCTAAGCCTTCTGTGCTTGCAAAGCTTCCACTTGGAACACAGAGCAGCAGCTACACTAGCAGAGATTTATCTTTTTTCTGTGAGCTGAAGGTAATCAAGACATAGTAGATTTTTATTATTTAATAGAGAAGGAGTTTTTTGGGATTCTTTGTCAATGTGTTGAAAATGTGGCTGTTTTTGTCCAGCAGAAAGCAGCACTGTTCACATGTTGGAGCTTGCTGTTGGAGGCTGCAGCTGAGTTAACGTGTGTGGGTGCACAAGTGGGTGCTGCCTGAACATGGGTTTAGAGTGTTTGCTCCTAAATTAGCCTGTGCATCAACAGATGGCAGCAAGCAACAATAGCAGTAAAAAAACACTGTGAGGACAAGTACAATTTATATTTACAGTCTCTCAAATGTTTTTTAGAGACAAAAAGATCTGTTGGCTGTTAGCCATTCTTCCTGATACCCTAGGATGCTCTTTGAAAAGTCCCTCTTGGTTTGACAGGTCATTCACAGGTGTCCTTGTTTGACTCAGCTGATTGATCAAATCTCGAAATGTTTATGCTTGCATGCCTAAGGGTCAAACCTATAGCAAGCGTTCTATGTAAGTGCCAAGTTCTGCTTCTAGAAGCTGAGAAGCAACAACAAATTTTTAGAGTTAGCAAACCCTAATCTTTTATCTGTTTTAGACAGATGGAAGTTTGGAAGAAAAAGTATCTTTTTTCAGCATGCATATTTCTTACATACTTTCTTGGAAGTTCACTTTTGTATCTAAGGGATTATTCAACTGGCACACAAGACACTTCTTTGAATACATAAAAGGGAAAATTGACCACATCCTCACTCTTTAAACATGCTTATAAAGATGCAAAAAATGCTATGCAAGCCTTTTTATCTTGTTAGTTCTCTTCTGATAGTAGGGAGACTGTTTGTGGAATTCAGCCCTTATAAAATCTATATCTCAAGTCTCACATGGAGTTGGACCTACTGACACCTTTACCCCAAACAGCTTTTACTAACAATCCAAATTCTTTAGATATTAATTCTATCAATGTTGTTGAAGTTAACCTACTGAACCAACAAAAGAACGGAAAAAATATAGCTTCCACTGGAGTCCATTACTAAAAGAGAAGCCTAAATTTTAGGGCCTACCCAAGTAAGAGAATGATCTTTTTCTGACCCGCCTTTGTTTGCTTAAAACTCACATTTTAGTATGTATGCTGTGTAAAGTGTGAATTTCTTCTTATGCTCAACTCCTACCACAGTGGAAGCATTTTTGGTAATCAGTGTTATCTTCTGGAATGTGTTTCAGGCTAACAGTGGAGATGGTGACTCATGTTCACTTTGTATATATATGTGTGGTAAATTCATCATGGTGAATGCAATTCTTCAGTGTCTTGTCACCACTAAAACACTTCCAATGTTATGCCCAGGAGATAACAGTGTTGCATGATATGACTGGTCATTGGAAGAGTTTTGTGACCTATATAATATTTTGATTTATATTTTGTTTGCTTTTGTACCCACATAGAGTGATAAGGAATCACTTCTGTGAAGATCTACTTGAAGATTTTTTTGCCAAGTGATTTTACTTAGAAATAAAATTAAAATTGCTTGGCATAAGTATGCTCTGTGACTGTATGTACTAAATTTATTTTTCTTCTTATTCAAATTGTAGGTGTTGCATACCTCATTATTTTAAACAAAGTACAACCAAAAAAAGGTTCTTTGCTGATGATTAAATTTCTCTGTTCAGACACTTCATAAAAAGAACTCTATTTTAGGTTCAATTTTTTTTTTAAATTATATTTTTTAGACTAAAATGGAAAAGATATTTCTGGTTTCGTGAAGGTCTGTATACATCTTCTCTCCCTCTCATTGTAACTTGCACACATTTGGAGATAAGTGTCAGAGGCATTGATTTTCCCTCCAGGACCACATCACTTCCTTCTTAATGATTGCCTGTCTGGCAGCTGATGAGAGCATTTTCCTTCTACATTTAAAGAAAAAAGGTCTTATCCAAAGCCCACTGGAAGTGCTGAAAGTCTTTTAAAGTACTGTGTCTTTTGGCTCATACCATAGACTCAGATTTTCCTCCCAGCTTGCAATTTATCAATGCAACCCTGGCCTGAAGGCTTTGAAATATATATGAGGGAGTAAAGATTTTTTTGTTGTTGTTGTTGCACAAAGAGGATATTTCTGAAAATAACTATGAACTGCCTTCCTCCTGTACCAAGGAGATTGGTAGGGGGGTTTTGTCTGGGATTCTTCATATTGTGCTCATGCAGTTTTGTGCGTAAAGGATTTTTAAATCATTAACTTCCTGACTACATTGCAATTGAAATACTGAAGTGTATCTGTGATTCTATAGCTGTACAAGTAAAATAACTCTGCTTCCCTTACAGCTGTTTGCCAGGAGCTAACGTGATATGTAAAAGATTGAGTAAAAACAGCAGCACCAAAATCAAATATGTGAAAATCACCCATTTAATTGTCTTTCCAGGGACGATATCTGTGAACACGTTACGTACTCCATACACTGCACCAGGGGAAAGTGAAATCCTTGACTTGGATGATGACTTGTATCTTGGAGGCTTACCAGAAAATAAAGCAGGCCTGGTCTTCCCAACAGAAGTGTGGACAGCACTCCTCAATTATGGATACGTCGGCTGCATCCGAGATTTATTTATTGATGGTCAAAGCAAAGATATTCGACAGATGGCTGAAATTCAAAGCACAGCTGGAGTAAAACCCTCATGCTCCAGAGAAACTGCAAAGCCTTGCCTTAGCAACCCCTGTAAAAACAATGGTGTGTGCAGGGATGGGTGGAACAGATATGTGTGTGATTGCTCTGGCACGGGGTACCTTGGCAGATCGTGCGAAAGAGGTAGGTTCTGTGAGATGACTGCACTTCTACTTTTATCTATTAAAAAATAAGCACAGCCATAAAATAAATGAAATCCTGTACAATGATTAAAAATGATAAACTATCAATAACTGTCCTGAGGAAAAGAAACAATCCTCAATTTCTCTCAATGTGAGGTGGAGCCCTGCTCCAGACCCAAAGCAGTAATTCTGGAGGAAAGATCTTGAGGGAGACTCTAAGGTGCATGAAGAAGAATTAGGTGGCTATGACAGAGTCAGTACTGCTAAATATCTCCTAAAAATGCCTTCTTTTGTGTCTCATCATAAATTGCTGAGCTCTGAAAAGCTTTGTGAAAGCAATTTGAAATATTATTGCATTGCTATGATGCCTTGGAGGGGCTATCTGGAGCAGAGGCTAGCCAAAGCTGTGAGTACATGTTAAAGACCTTAAATAGATACACCTTAGGCAGGGTAAAAGCCTGCCAGAGGCTACACCCAAGATGGATGATGGTCACAAGTTTTTCAGACAGATATAAGTTTTGCCCATTTACATATCAGGGGTTCATCCTCCAATTGCAGCTTCAGGTAATGAAGTCATATCCCCCCCAGTTTGCAGCCCCCCAATTCACTTTTGTTTATACTTTCCAGGGCCTGAGGCTGGAGGGTGTCCTGGGGTTCCAGGCCCAGAGGAACTGTTTTGTCTGGCCCAAGTGTGAAGAGTAGTTGGCTAGCATGAAGTTTAGAGTTAGTTTATATGAAGTTTGGAGTTATGCACTAATGCAGTGCAGGATTTGAAAAATAGAAAGGCTAAAATCTTAAGGCGTCAGCTAAATTGTCACATTCCAGTTCCAAACTGAGGTCTTGTTCTCTGCCTATTCATTTCAATATATTTGCATATAAATAAATTTAGTTTTGAATTCCACAAAACACTTAAATCCATGGCCAGAACTTCACCCATGAGTCAAAGCAGAAGAGTCAGTAGAAATTTTTTTTTTTTACGTATCTCTTTTTAAAAAGATACAAATACCCGAGGAAACTGTCTGAAGTTCCCTAAAATCTCTGAATATTCCTCTTACCTAGAAAAGGTAACAGTGAAGTTGACAAACTCCATTTATTTATTTGAAAAGGTGGATAGTGTCAAAGAAGGCACATGTTGAGGTTAGTTAATAGACAGAAAACCCTGTAATTTATTTAAAACTGCAGTGTGCCAATGAAAAATTTCAATTTAAGGAGGTACACAATAAAAATAAATGCATTTAATATTTTAGGTTTTTATTCTTGCTGGAATAGAAAGTGTTTGAATGCCAGGAGTTGTATTTTTTCATCTCACAGCTGACACAGTATTTTCTTTGGATTTGTTGTCAACCTGAAATCTAAACATTAAGTTTATTGAATGAAAATGTAAGTTCTTTTCACCTAGTTGGATTAATTTTTCGAGTTTGTCAGATGGAACAAAAATGTTTCATCACAAATTGAGAAGTAAAACCCCCAGTGAGTGTTTCAAGTTATATGTCAGTAGAGATGAGGGTGTACGTAGTACGGTTACCTCCGTACAATATGCACATCCATATTATCATCATCTGCAAGTAGATTCTCAGACTCTTACGTGGGGTTTCTCTGTCTCCTGTTCTGGCTGTGGATGCCTTTGGCTCATGGCCAGCTGTGCTGAGCTCTGCCGGCTGCTGTTCCCGGCGGGATGAGGGAGCTGCTGATGCATCCATCCCTGCATCCCTCGGTTAAACATGGCTGGTGTACCACCCTGTGGCCAAACTCTCCTATTACACACAGGGGCTCCAGCCAAAAACGCGTTTGCGTTTTATTTCCACGGAAAAGCCAGGAAACGAGTGCCTCAGAGACATAAACACACGCAGATCTGCAAAGAACTGAAAGCAGGCATCATCACAGCAATTCCCATTCCCATATTGGACAGGTGGTGATGTTTTATAAGGAAACCTTTGCCTTTTATTTCCCATGCCTTATTTTCAAGCATTGTCCAGCTTAAGGCTTCATTTTCCCAGTGCATTCCCCTGGTGGGAATGGTGGTACTGGAGTGGTGGTGTTGGCTCCTCCACAACAACATTTGGTTCTTGTCCAACAGAAATATGTGTGGCACTTCAGCACCGTGAGATCATTTCCTGCTCTTGGGTTTCCCTCTCCAGAGGAAGCTGCACTGAAAGGAGCTGTCTTCTCAGTAATATTCATATCCCAAGTGGTCATGCATTAATAAGATTATAGCTTTTGGGATTCTGAAAGCGTCGTGCTGGCATCCTACCACACAAAGTTATTATAGCTGCTACCCGTGTGTAGGAGCTGATAAACTTTTGTATTTGGTGATATAAGCAGCACATTCACAATTGTTCAAGCTAATTTAAATAAAAGGGGAACGCACTTATTTCAGCAAAAAATACAGACTTACAAAGAAAAGAAACCTTTTGAATAATATACTGGAGATTAAACAAGAATATTTTATATTAAATAATTAAGGTGTCTTAAGTAAAAAAAAAAAGGATGGAGTTACTTGTTATTGCCATTTAATTTTATTTTTCATATTATTTCACCTGAAATAGGAGTGCTAACATCCATAGATAGATATTTAGTGTACAATACAGAACCTGAAATAATTTCAGCTCATTAGTGCACAAAACCCCTTGAACACCACTGTGGTCTATTTTAATTTGTGTATACTTAAAATTATATGCATATATACACATATATATATTTCTATCCATACATATTTTATCGTGTTGCAAGTTATAGTTGATTTTATTCTTGAATTTCAGTAAGGTTAAACATCACAATAATCTGTAGATTGGCTTTAGTAGATTATCAAAACTCTGGCAGATGCATGGACAGATGTCACAGCAATGTAATTTGGTGTCCTCTCTTACTTTGTGGATCACAGAATGAGTGGCTGCCTCTTGGCAAAAGCTTTTGCAGGTGTATTCTTTTGACTGGATAGCCAGGAACAATAGTAAAATCATCAAACAGGGATGGAAGGAAAAGTAAGCACGCAAACAAAGGTTTATGAAGGTGACATTTCTGAAGAGAAAATCTGTTTAAAGTAGAATGTGTGTAGATGTCCATATTGTGCATGCATAGACCCCTACATACACATATGCACATTAAAGAAATTTAGCTTTCATTCCTTGTATTAGACCTGAATGCTTTAAAATTTTAAATTAAGAATAATAGAGGTGGTATGAGGATAGATGGTATGAAGAATCAGGTGTTCTAAATATTATACTAATTCCACCACTGTCTTAAATTAACTGATTGGTCCTGTGTGTTAAAGTTGTGACAAACTTTGGAGTGTGGCTTAAGACCTCAGTCCTGAAATAATACCAGTGTAGGAATTGGGAGGAATAATTTTTCCTTCTATTCACACATTATCCAGTAAATAATCACATACAGAGAATTGTTTCTGTCAAATTGATGGAAATGTTCCCTATAAACCTCCAAGGCTGCAGCTTTGTTGCGGTGGTGGCCTGAAGAAGATGCCATGTAGAAAACACAAATCACCTGGGAAGAGAACAAATGGTTCAATTCTGACTCAATAGCAGCCAATATATTTGAATACTCATACAATTTCTAGGAGTAAATTCATATAAGGAGCATTTTCAGGACATGACATTGTTGCTCTGCTTGCACTGGTAAATAAAACAGGATCAGAGAGCAAACCTGAATATTTGATTATTGATGATCCAGATTGCTCATACATATCCTGGCATGACTCTGGACTGTATAGTCTGTCATTTCTGGGCAAAGTTTGTGTGGGATTTTAGTAACAGCAGACACAGGGGGTGATTTCATGCTTTAAAAATGGCTCTGTGGGATGCAATACAGTCCTCAAATTATTGCAGACACACTGAAACTGAAAAAGTGGGAAAAAATTAATAATTCTTTCTTTGGGACCACAAGGGGTCCAGAGGAAACAAGATACTGTTTTATTTCTTAAATTATGTGCAATAGGCATTTAACTGGTACTCAAAAAGAATCAGGCTTTTAAAACAACTCCAACTTGACTCCAAAACTTGTGAGAAAGAACCCTGAAATCTAAATGCCTAGTCCATACTTGCTTCAGTCTAATTTAAATAAGCTGTGAGTTGAAGAATGGCATCTATTCAGGAAATTCTACTTTACTCTAAAAATATCCAGTGCAGCATTTCTGAGGGTAGGAGCAGATGCAGGAAAGTTTCCAGAAGAGTTGGTGCCTGTCTCTTGAGCAATTTAGGTAATTACAGCTCAAGTGGAAATTAAGGTCCTGAATCTCCTCTCATGTCAGAACTGATCTGTGCATCCTTGGCTTCAGACACAGAGATAATTGAGGTGGGGGGTATGTGTGTATGTAGAAAAGAAGACTATCTAGCCATGAAGGTTTTGATAAGAAACAAAGAAATAAAAAAATGGAGAAGGGAACAGAACCCTTCATTGAGGATTGTTTTGGGGTTTGGTTCATTTGTGTGTTTTGGTTGGCTGGTTTTTACCACAGGAGGAGGAAAAGTTTGAATTGTCAGGTTTATAAAACTGTCAAAGGATGAATGTATAAAACACTTTGATATGAATCTCTATTCCATATAGTGCACTATATTCCTTAATAACTCTACTGCATGCACTTATCTGCTGCCACCACAAAAAAAAAAAAATTGTCAGTGATTATTTTATAAGGATTTTCAGCTGTTTTTTCTTTTCAGCACTATGATTCCAACAGTGAAGTGATTGTGAAGCTATTACTCTTTTCCTTCTTTCTTTAAATGAATATCACATCCTGAGCTAAACCTTTAGTCTGTTACCTTTTGATCTAATAATTAAGAGAAAGCTGAACAAGAGAAAAAAGACATTCTGCCAACACTTATGTGAGAATATTTAGCGGTGTAGATTTCATGTAAAGATGAGACATCTCCTTGGAATTAGTTGGTCCAAAGCAAAAAAAAAAAAAAAAAAAAAAAAAGTGGCAAAAATTATTACCTATTTTTAGCTGAATTGTTCCTTCAAGGCTTTTGTAACTGGTGCCTCTTGTCATTCAGGTCACCTTCTTACTGACCAGACCTTGTAAATTAGCAATCCATTCCTGCCAGTTTTGTACTTGGTTCTGCTTTGTTTGTTGTTTGGTTTTTGGTTTTTTTGGCGTTAGTTTTGTGTTTGTTTTTGATTTTTTTGTTATTTTCCATTTGCTTTTGCATTTTTATTTTGTTTCTGGCTTTGGTATTGCTTGGGGGTTTTTTTGGGGTCTGGGTTTTTTTTTTTTTTCTGGTAGTTTGGAGAGGGTTTTGTTGGGTTTTTTTGGTTTGTTTTTTTTTCTCTTTTCCCTTCCCCAATATACTTTCATATTTAGAAAGCCTGTGCCTTGGAAAGGGCATATTGACACATTAAAAGGAGCTAGTTGACATGAGGGGGCTTCCTCATGGCCCAGAGCTTTTAAGTTATTTGATCTTCTGTTCAGCATCTTTGGTCTGTTCTTGGAACATCTGTTCCCAAAATGCTGCACAGTATGGCTTAGGAGGATTAAGTATCTAATCACAATTGGTCTGCTCACCATGGTGTTACTCACAGGCCATCTCCAATTGAATTAAGCCTCCAATTAAGATCCTTCTCTCCTTTTTCTGCAATTTTCAAAAAAACCCAACTCGAATAATTGAAGGGAAGTTGGCAAAAAGTAGCAGTGCTGATTCTGACAGCTCTCTTTTTTTACATTATCTTAAGATAATTTGTTAGCAACAGAACTATCACATTGATGAATGTCTGGTTTGCTCTGCATATGAAAACCCTAAGTACTATTAATGGGGTTTTTATAGAAAATTCAAAATATCTTTTATTTTCTGCCATGTTAGTATGGAACTTAGGGGGTTTTTTCCTGGAATTCTTTACCTAAATTATGTTTACCTTGATAAAAAATCTTGGGAGATTTTTATGCAGAGACTAGACAGCTAGATATAGGAAAGAATTGAAAGCCCCTCTTCATGACTTCCCCAAAAAATTAATAAACAAACAAGGAAACCCACAAAAACTCAATCCTCAAACTAGCAAATAAAAACCCCAAACCATCAAAAAGCAAATCACCTTCCACTGAAAACTCTTTGACTTGAAATGCCTTTTTAAATTGTTGCAAGTTAAATATTTAATCTAATTTTATTTAATTTTAGATTTAAAATGTGATGAAAATACGATTACCTGCATAGTCAGAAATCATCAAACCTGTAAATGCATTCTTATAACTTGTTACATCTAGGGACTTTCACAGCAGTCTCAGTAACTTTTTTTTTTTTCCCAACATTAGACTATTTCCTCCAAATTTGTATTGGGGGAATTTAAAATTCTTTACACAGGAGAAGGTTGCCCAGAGAAGCTGTGGATGCCCCATCCTTGGAAGTGTTCAAGGCCAGGTTGGATGGGCTTGGAGCAACCTGGTCCAGTGGGAAGTGTCCCTGCCCATGGCAGGGGACATGGGTGGAACTGGATAACCTTTAATGTTCCTTCTAACCCAAGCCACTTTCTGATTGTTTTAGTGAAAATATAATTTATCACTTTTGCCTCTCACAGAATTAGTAGAACGTTTTGTCCTTCCGTGGATCACGTAGGCTGGAAGTCTTGAGGAGCTTATCTGCCCTTAGGAGCACACAAGAAATGCTCTGGGAACAACTTTGGCAAACACAGTTGAGATATTTACTTTAACATAGTATCAGTAGTATTAGTCATTGAAATTATTATTGCACCACAATAAACTTTTAGATAAGTGCCTCCATTACACTGAAGCAAATTGAAGCATAGAGAAGCTTCCCATAGGTGTTCTCTGCCCACAATGTTTGATTGTCCTGCCAAAAAGGACTTAACTAATACATTTCAGGAATGTTTCCTTTTGCTTTCTAGGAACTGCAGTGCCTCCCTGTGAGCAGAAATGCAGTCTCTTTGCTACCTTTCTCGTTACCAGCCTGGAAGCTGGAAAAAGAAAGCTTGTGACTGGTTGCTCTGGGGTCTAACAGACTGTGACTGCTGTGTGCCAGAGCCTCTGGCCAGGAGGGTTTCCTGGAATGTCTCAAAGTGACAGTTCTTCCCTTGTCTTGGGGGTTTTAAGATGTTACCCTCAATATGCCAATTCCAGTCTCAATCCTCTTGCTGAGGCTGTCGTAGTGTTCATATAAGCATTTTTGAGTTCAAACAATGCTTTTTGTAGTCATGGAACAACCTGTACCACATCCAAACCGTGCCGGGGACTGTCATGCATTTCAGGAGGATTTTTGCTCACTATATGGCAATTGCAACCCATGGTTGAAGCAATGTTAATAGTTTTATACATACAGAATTCTAAGGTGATTATCTAGGAGAATGACAGTCAGGCATGGGCTTTTGTTATGCTGTTAAGGTTAATTAAATATCCTTTGCTGATTTGACCTGTTTTGAGCAGTACAGGCCTGGTCTTTCAAGCATTGCCTTCCAGGTGATTTTACTGATCTTGTTGAAGGTGCACATGTGACTGGCAGGGTCATTAAAGAACAATTTTTTTTGTTTAAAAAGCATCAAGATATGCCACTTAAAACCAAAACAAATCAAAACAAACCCTAACAAAATCCCTAAACCTGACTTTCCTTGTGTCTCCCAGTAATAATAATGAAAAGTAATACGTAGATATTTTGTGTCACGCTGGCTGAATATGCATTTACCATCTTACCTTTAAGGAGTTTCAGTAGACAGAGCATAATTCTTTAACAACTGGTTTTCTCTTTTGTGTTTCCAGAGGCCACAATTTTAAGCTATGATGGGAGTATGTTTATGAAAATCCAGCTTCCTGTGGTGATGCACACAGAGGCCGAAGATGTTTCTTTAAGGTTCAGGTCCCAGAGAGCTTATGGCATTTTAATGGCCACGACTTCCAGGGAATCTGCAGATACCCTTCGGTTAGAGCTGGATGCAGGACGAGTTAAGCTAACGGTCAACCTAGGTAACAACCTCTTCCCTCCAAGGAATTAACATTTTCTTTACATTTTTTTCTTTTTGCTTGCAAACATTTATGAAAAAGCCTGTTTTAACATTAAAAGTAAACTGAAATGATATATAAGCACATATCAATTTGGCATTTGCATATGTACACAAATACACAGCCATTATTACAATTTATTTTTGTTTTCTTTTGTGTTTTTGTATTCTTTATTTAGTCTTAACATTACCCATCACAATATTTTTGTACTGTTGTGTATTCTAAAAAAAGAGGACAAGTTAATCAGTGGTAATTTTTGGTTAAATTGGTTTTTTTGATTGTGGAAAATTGGTCTCCCTCCACAATTTCTTCAAAATAGTAATTTCACAATTTCAATGTGCAAGAAGAAACAACATATATATAGGTCAGCTCACTTTTACCTCCGCCAATTAATCTATGACATGCAAATATATTGAAGACTTTCTGGTTTTAACACTGAAAATGTTGCAGTTAGATATTCCCACTGATTGATTTCTTGTTCTCCTTTTTTTAGGTGTCAAATCTATATTAAATCCATCTCCTCTTTTTTAAACAATTCTGTAGTGGTATTTTTGTAGTATCGAACGATAACACAACCCTTCAATGCCCAAAGACTGCGGCCCTCAGCAAACAGCCTTGTGAACACAAGAGGCACAAGCCCTTTTACAGAAAGAAAAAAAACAAAGAAACATTGGTTTCCTTGTTTAAAATATGATGGACAAAATGTCAGGTTATGATTTTCTGTAGTTTAAAAAAAAATAGTAAGTAAAGAAATAAAAGCGCTTAAGTGGCAGAGTGGCACAAGAAGCTTCTGCCGTGCTTAAGAGGCATAAGTCCAAGTCAAGACAGGAGGAAAATGCCCATCCCATACAGCTATTCCCATTCAGGGAATAAAAAAATATTCATTCCTATTTTTAAAAGGAGTTAAGTGAGTCTTTTTGCTTTAGTCAGAGATTTAGAAAGCACCAGTGGGGAGTGAAGAGTAAGAAAATGACCACCTGATCCTCCACTTCATCCAAGGGTCGCTCACAGAAACACTGCCCTGGTGTTTGGGGGTGAGAAGGGAGGAGGAGGAGGAGCAAAGGGTGTTGTGATGACCCTTCCCTGCCTGTCCCCTCCTGCAGGGAGGCCAGGGTGGGGGGCTCTGAGTGCTTTCTGTAAAGGGGGTGTGCCGGTGCTGCTCCTCGGCTGTTTGCAACCACTTTTCTGATGCGGTTGACGACACATGGCAAACTCAGCTATATGGAAACAAAATCTAGGTTTGATGGTATACATGTTCCTCAAAGGTGTAAACCAGGAGTAGCAAACCAAGTAGTGTGGTGTAGGGTTTGGGGTTTGGTTTTCTTTTTGTTTTTTTTTTTTGTTTTTTTTTTTTTTTCTCTTTTTTTTTAATAAATAATGAATGTAGGTAGCTCAGGAGAGAATCATGCACAAATCAGGTTAATCACTTTATGTACAAAAACAAAAAACTGCCATCCTCTGCCTACTTCTATAGTTTATGAAAGTCAATGAAAAGTAAATAAATCCATGCCCTAATAATATTGTTTCTTCCTCCAACACCCCCTTTTATTTTTCCTTTCTCTTTTTTTTTTTTTTTTTTTTTTTTTTTAGTCAGGCAAGAAAATAATCTTAAAATAGAAAAGGATTCTCTTGCTTCTCTAATGAGTGTTTATAAATACGTCATTTTTTTTTTCAAATCCACAACCCCTTATTTCTGGCCTGGGTGATGAGCCCTGTGTGTCAATCCCTAGCTTGTGAAGATGAGCCTTTGAGGTTATACTATCCACAAGTTGTCCAAGGTGTCTGATTGTGGCCTGGCCTGCTCTATGACCCATTGTGACGGAGCACTTTCTAATTGCACTGAGACGAATTACCTGTTCTTTCACAGATGGGGAGAAAGTTGCAGCCTGCCTCAGTTAAGCATCTTTGACTTTTAATCCTGACTTTTCACTTAGATTTTTGTCACCATGTAGCTTTGTTTGAAATTGGCCATTTTTTACCCTATTTGTCGTTTCTATTGGTAAAGACTTCTCGCAGTATATCTGGGTTATAACACCACGTAAAGACTGATGACATGGAGTGGCCATATTTGCATGTGTCTGTCCCCGGAAGGGTGGACTGTGATTTTATTGGATGTCTGCAGCTATTACCTTGAAGGATAAATTTTCATTTTTCATCTATTCTTCCCCATCTAGACTGTATCAGGATTAACTGTAATTCCAGTAAGTGCCTATTCAAACTTTTTAAAATGTTATTCCACCATTGTAAAATATGCAAACTAGAATGACAGATATTGTGGACAGCTTGCAAGCATTTGATAATTTATTAATGAAATGTGATGATTAATTATCATTGTGTAAAAAGTCATCATATACTTTAGCACTTGTTTTTTGTCCTTCCCATTGGACATAACATTAACTAGAATATTAAAAAGGAAGCATTCTACAGGTTGTAAACAAGCCTAGAGAAAATGGTGCCTGTAGTACTGTGTTATTTTAGATAGGCTATTTTATATTTACAGTATCCATAGAATTTTTGAACCAGCTTTTCTGATAAACTTGCACTTTTTCCCCCATGCCTTCCTTCTAATTTTCCTGACATTTTGCCTTCAACTTGTCATTAGATTGTTGGAACATAACAGTTTTTATTACAAAAATTTCTATTTTGCAATCCCCCTAGACAATTACCTGTATTTACCAGCTGGTTATAGCACAATTTGCTTTTGCTAAATCTTTGATTTATGGAAATGTGATACATTGCAATAAGGGCATTATTAAGTCTGAGAATAACCATATTACTATGATGATTTTTTACACTCTAATTATGTTAAAAATCCTTGAATTGAACAATTTTTCTCTGTGATATGCATGTTTATGAAACAGAGGGAAACATTTGCCAGATGAATGGACTAAATTTTAACTTCTCTGATATTATTTGGATTAAGAGGCTATATTCTGAAAGGAGAAAAAGGACTGTGATTTTATTTTGAGTCTATGGAATTCCAGAATGGTGTCAACAAAATTATTGATAGTAAGTATGGTAGATTTGAGTTTTGGGTTGTTTTTCTGTTTCCCTTCCTAACAGATTTTGCAGGCCAGAGGACTGGCTATATGAAAGTAGGAAAAAAAAAAGCTAAACAACAAATTGCACAGGTTTAATTTGTAGTTGGTAAGAGTTAAAATATATTAGCATAACATTCCTTAAAAGTTTTATAACCCATAAAGAAAAACAAGGATCTGAACTTATTCTTAATGTGTCATTTTCTAATAGATTTTTTAATTAATAATTTTTACAAGACAAAAATACAGCATTTGTATTTAAAAGCAGAAAAATTTCCTGAGACAAGTGTTTAATTTAACCTGTTCTCAAATTCAGAGAGACTTCAATACAATAAAGGAAATGCTTGTAATCGCCAAGGCATAAAGATATTGTCCTCAGATTAAAAAGAAAATAATAAGAAAGTAAAAAATTCTCACTTGCTAAAATGTATAAAATAATGAAAAATCTCAGAAGCATTTTCTTGGTCTGCCACAGGACACTATTGTTTTCTACTAATGAAATCTCAATTAGAATAAAACAAGTGTAAAATAAGCAGCTTTTTGGGCAGAACTGTAATGAGAGTGTCTGCCTTTGGTAAATACCTTTTTTTTTTCCTAGGAAAAGCAATATTGGTTTTTTTCTTAACTTCCTTAATAAAATCAGAAAATCCATCTGAAAATAGAGTTACTAACATAAGGAAACCACCCAGAAATTAAGCCACAATATAACAGGTGTTTTCATTTTTTAATCTATTTTGGATTAAATGATATGTCAAAGGTAAATTAAATGGTTTCTAGGTTTCATTTTTAAGCAAGGTTTGGATCAAAAGAGAATCTGCAAACACAAATAAGCCTCCAATTAGAGGATTGCAAAGAGAAGCAATGTATCTGCTGGATTGGATTAACACTTATAAATTCTTGGTCTCATTCAGAAGCAACATAACCTCTCTACATAATATCCTTGGTATAAAATACTCATAAGTTATTTTTCTTTACAGTTTGTTTATAGTGGTTTTGTTGCTAGAAATGAACTTGGGTGATTAGTTCCATCTCCCTGTGGTGCTTGTGTGTGCTCAGCAGGGTTTTGTGAGCTTTCAGTATGGTAAGTACCACAATGCTTTCTTGTCTGCACTGGAGTTTTTCAGCAACCAGATGTTTCATGAGCCATTTCTATATCCTGATTTTTAGATTATGGAGAATTATTGCTCCAAGCAGTCCTTAAAAGTGCTTATTAGAAGATATAATGGGATTTAGTGGGACACAATTTGCTTCAAAGCAACAGCATCCAGAACTGGAGTATCGAGTTGCTAAACACTGTGATAGTTGAGTGCCTCTCTTCTTTCTGCTGAGAGCTGGATATGTATCAATCCTCATTTTAGGTTGATAGTAAATCTGGTTTTCAAGTCTGAAAAACTTTTTTTTCCATTTCCTATTTCTGTTACTTAGGAATTAGTCCTGTTAATTAATCTCAGTGTTGGGACTGAGAGTTATGTGTTATAAGTAGCCTGGTAGCAGAGGTAAGGTCAAGATGAAGGCATCTGGTTTGAATTTGGAGAGACAAATAAATAAAAAAAAAAATCTAATAACTTGAGCTGAACATCAAGAAGCTTGAGAGAAGAAAAAGGAAAATGTGAATGTAAGCACCTTCTCCTGCTGTGAGCTGTAAACCCAGGGATTAAAATACTGCACCTCTTCCTCCTCTCGCTTTCTCCTGAAGCCTGTCTTCTGCTCGCTGCAGATCAAATGAATAAGTGTTGCCTGACAGAGCTAAGATTATGGCAGCAACTTTTTCTACACTTGGTCATCCCTTCACCTTTAGCTGAAGTCCTGTCTTGCAGAACAGATGGCATTTTGGGGTCTTTCTTGTTTGGAGGACAAAATGTTTTAAAAAAAAAATTAAAGCGTTCATGAGATATCAGATCACTACTGAACTTGTGTTTCATTACCAATACATGGCATGCTAAATATTTTGTGCTGGGTTAGAAGATTGGTATGCCGATAAAATCATACATCACTGGAAATTCTGCCTATGTCAGTCAGAAAATGCCATTGCTGAAATGCTTGGTTTGTACATCCTTAAACAACTCCATTGTGTTCTTCAGGGCTACAAGTTTGTGAAATTAAATTGTCTGTTAGGCAGTGAATTAAATGGTCCTTTTAAATTGCAGGTACATGTAGGTCAGTGCTGGGGCTGACACCAGGAGAAAGGGAAAAACTTATTTGAGGAACAGAAATAGCTGCTGTGGTTTCCTTATTAGTGCTCATAGAGGTGAGGACCTCATTTAAAAATAAGACTGCAGTGAATTCTGTTGTTTTAAATAATACGAATGTAACAGTATTTTTTGGCATTAATTATCCTGTAAAAAATAAGTTAATAGCAGTAGGGATCTTCTACATTATACACAGAATTGATAAACTGATCCTTAAAAATTGCCTTAGAATAAATTATATAAAAATATATATAAAATCCCCAAAATATTTCTCCCTTTCAATGAAGTAAAGAATTGTTACCCTTTAATTGCAAACTATAGAGCATAAATTAAAAGTAGCTGTGAATCCTATTGAACTGAATGGGATTTTCCCCTGGTATTTCTTGGAGACAGAACTTCATCCCAATAAAATTTCCATTGCAGTTCAGTAACAGTTTCTGAATGACTTGTGGACAAAAAAGAGATGTGATTTTCATATTTTCATAGTTTTTCAAAATTTTCATGTTTTTCATTGTTGTAACTTTAAAGGCTACGATCTTGACTTAAATTAAATTTCTTTTTTTTTTTTTTTTTTTTTTTTCCAGTTTTAATGATTCCAAAATATTAGTATCTGGAAAAATCCAGGTAGCTATAAAGGCTGCTGGTTTTAATATTCAATATGTTTTTGTTACAGACATCTGCAGTCTTACACGTTATTTCATCTTTTGGGCTGTGAGTGCTTTATTACTATTATTTTATTGCTATCATTTCTGGAAATAAATTTTGTATATTTTTGTATGAGTTAGCCAAGTAGGATTGATGGGTTTTTTTTTATTCATTGATGCATTATACCACTAATAATGTTAATTGCTAAATAGCTGGCTCTCATTTCCCACTCTGATACTTTTGTTCAATATGAAAAAATACAGGACACATTTTTGAATGGTGCTGTGAATGATTGCTCAGCTTGTGAGACACAGTGGAGGGGAGATTTAGGTCAGTCTTCTAGCACACAGGTTTGCTTCTGTAGGCAATAATTCAGAGCAGTGGCACTGAATTCAGTTATGCACAAATGCAGGACTGTCAGGAGAAATGATTATGAATTGCAGGAAGTCAGGGAGCAGAGAGTCCCTGGTAGTAAATGTGTACACAATTCCCCAGGGAACGTGTGAACCAGGTTTGCAGCTTGTTATCTACCTCTATAAATTAGGAAGAGTTTCCTGGGCTTGGAAAGTTTTCAGTTTGTTCTTCCAGCAAAGTGCCCCTTCAGTGGTTGTATTTACATGCACCCCTTGTTCTTGTGTCTATCTAGTTATTCATCCATTCTCCATATAATTTATTGTTCCTCTCATTTTATTTTCTCATGGCATTTCAATTCTCTGCTCTTGTCTGTAGCCCTTAATCTTTTTTTCCTTGTTTTGTATGCTCATCCTTTTAAAATTTCCTATTCTGCAGATGTGTGCACATTACAGATGATTAAGTTATTTTATTTGGAAACATCTGTTACTGAAGCATTTCTTTCTTGTCAAAGTATCCTACAAATCCAGGGTATGACAAGGAGCTTTGTCAGATTATTGGTAAATAAAGGGAGAATTGTATCTATTAAAGAACCAGCAATGGTGTTCAATTGCATTGTATTCTCAATGTGCACATGAATTTTAAGCAGCAGAAAATCTTACATCAAGGCTATACATCTTTTTGAACTACTGCCTGTAAAACTGCATTTTATTACAAAATCTTCCAATAAAAAAAAATCTCGTTTATTGCACATCTTCAGTTGTGCTCTTAGGGACATTCCTAAATCTTCTGTGATAAGCAAATCATTAATACATTTCCATGTATTAACTTCCTACTATGGTAAAAAAGAATTATTGGAATATATTACTTGCTGGGGTTTTTTTGCTGTTTTTGGCAGTAGAAAATCATTAAAATGATTCAATTTTGTAGCTCCACCCAAAATGTAAGATTTTGTACTTTGCCTGTTTTCTAGCAGAG